TATGGCCATAGTTGTTGTCATGGTCATCGATATATTATAGTCGGGCAGACCCATGATGTACAATTTCTTCTCCCTTGTAACTTCCCGGAAATTTCACATTCAGACGACGAATCAACATGAGGCGTTTTGGGGAACAGCTCATCCAAAACCGAAGCATGACATGAGATTGGTGGGATTCGAGGCCTCAGTCGCTACCAGTATCAACAGGCCCAAGTCGCTGCGTCCATGCTCGGTGCAGCTGACCATGACAGCGCCCTTGCATTGAAGAATCCCCAAAGGAGCGGCGATAACAATTGCGAGGTTTGGCGGGAAGCTCTTCATGGGAAGCACATTTCCGCCTCGCCTACCGATGCGCGATCGCGGTGAGGTCTAGGTGCAAAAATGCTATCATGTAGGTGGGAGAAATGAGTCGAGGCTCGAGGATGATTTGAGGGTTACTGATTGTCGAACGCGACGTGTCGGGATGCGACCTCGCGGTGGGCTCGTCTCGTTGCCTCTATAGGGAAAGACAGAAGGTGATTTGGTCGCCATGGCATGGACGCCAGCAAAATAAGTAGATACTTCGGTGGGGATATTGGTGATGTCTCTCTGAAAAGTCCATGTTGATGAGATATTCCCCTGGCTTGCACTGAGAAGTGTGCATGAGAGCGAACACTGATCACGGAGAAGGATAGTGGTCTAATGCCCGTCCCCGTGCGAAGCCAGGTCATGGGAACTTCTCATGCATCAATATGGCTTCAAGGCGCAATTCGAGACTGTATCAGCTTCATTCCCGCACTTCGTGGACCATGCGCTCTCTTGCATGACCATCCGCAGATTTGGTACGTTCATCACCTGACGAAACCATGTCGAAGTCTGCGCTTCTGTTCTCAAACTCCCGGCTCTGTTCCTTCGAGAGTTGAATTGAATGTCGCACAATGTGTCATGTGTGCAGTGGGCCGCGTTGCGCCAGGACAAATTGCGAGTCTTGCTTCACAAGCACGCGGAGGCGGGATCATGACCTATCAGGAGGTTGTGGATCGTAGATAATGATCGTGATCACTGACGAAACCGCTTGCTTCAAGAGCTGGTAGAAACATGACCTTTACAACCAGGCATGCATCCTGTCGGCCTGCGAGGATCGTAGTAATCTTCATCGTCCGTCAGATCACTGTCGTCCACATCGGCTTCGCGCCTCTCGTCGATGGTATCTGCATCCTCTTTCTTCTCGACGTTGGCCTTCGGCTCATCATCCGCAGGCGCAAATGCGTTTTTGAATCCTCCTTTCTTGAACCCTCCGCTACCAGTTGCCGTGCTCTTCGGACCGCCACCGAGTTTTATCTGCATCAACGGCCCTTTTTCTTCCTTCTTGGGCTGTACTTGTCGTTGCATTTCCTTCATCTCCTTCAGCCTCTTCTTGTGTTGGTGATCATAGGAGGATTCATGAGCCTCGAATTCGTTCATGCGACTGTAGCCTTTTTGACACAGGGAGCAGAAGAAGGCGCTCCGCGCTTGTTTCGCGGACTGAGTATTGGCGGGAGGGAGAGTGAATCCTCGCTAGAGGAGGAGCGACTAGTCAATAACGCCAAAGTAATAGAGAACAACGCTGGTCGGCGAGGAATCGCAGGCATGACGAGCACAACTTACCGGAGGCATGACGATGGCGATGGACAGTTGGACGCAGCAGAAGGGCCTAATGTGCAGGATTTGTTTGAGGGAGCTTGATATATCAGCAGGAGGCGATGGAGAACAAGGAAGGTGTGGGTGATGGTTGTTCTTGCCCATCCTTGTACTTGTACATTCTTGTACAATAACAATACTACTAGTACTCGGCCGGCTTCTCGGACCGAGCCACCTGGAGTCTCTTTCAGCCGCACAAGGAAACAAGCATAATACCGAGCACATCTGCCCAGATCTGCCATCGCCCGAGGAGCTCAAGTGGTCCTTCTTAACAATTCGCTGTCTTTCCTTCGCTCCAACAGACATGGACTAGGCCTTGATGCCGCCCATAACATCGAGCGATCATCAAGGAAATTCTCACGAACTCAGATGATGTAGCAGTCGATATTGCCCAAGTCCGCGCATTGACTCGCCTCGACGCTGGCCCCTTCTTCCACAGGCCATCAAGAAGGCTGAAGTCATTTCCCAACCGTAAAAGGTCCAACCCCACGAATCAAAGGCTTATGACTTCCACGGGATCGTCGCGATCGTCGCCATGCGCCTGATAAATGTCCGCACGATTCAATTGGAGGAAGTCCAGAGCAGCAGGGCTCCCAAATATGCGATCCTATCCCATCGGTGGGAAAAGGAAGAAGTCACTTTTCAGGACATGAGTTCCCCCAAGACCTTTGGCAAGAAAGGCTTCTCCAAGATTCAATCGGCGTGCTGGCTTGCCCGTAACAAGGGGCTTGCCTACCTTTGGGTGGACACCTGTTGCATCGACAAAACCAGCTCGGCTGAACTCACCGAAGCAATCAACTCAATGTATCGATGGTACCAGGACGCCGAAGTTTGTTTTGCCTATCTCACGGATATTGAGATCCACCAGCACGATATCAAGAACAGCGTGTGGTTCACGAGGGGCTGGACACTCCAAGAATTGATTGCTCCAAAACACGTCAGCTTCTATGATCGAAATTGGGTGTTTCTAGGGACCAAAGACAACCTGGCAGAGGACCTCTCGAATATCACGGGCATTGATAGAGATGTCCTTATCGGTCAGAGAAGACACTCGAGCTGTTCAATAGCACAGCGGATGTCATGGGCATCAAAACGGCAGACGGAACGCATTGAGGATCGAGCATACAGTCTCTTGGGAATCTTCGACGTTAGCATGCCGATGTTGTACGGAGAAGGGGAAAGATCATTCACAAGACTACAAGAAGAGATCATCAGGCACTCTGACGACCAATCCATATTTGCATGGGATCGCGGATTGGAAGGCTATTTCGGAGGCCGCAGCGGTCTTTTGGCAACTTCTCCTTCGAACTTTGTTACTTGCCAAAACGTTGTTGTCCCCGCCACCAACGGTTTAACAGTCACCAGCGGCTTCTCGTTGACTAATGTGGGGATATCGATTTCCTTGATGACCCTCCCGTGGACGATGGAGACGTACCTCTGTATCTTACATTGCAGCCTCAAAAACTGTCCTCAATACAGGCTCGGCATCTTTCTCGAACGGCTCTCTTCGTCTCAGAATACAGAGCAATATGCTCGGGTGCAGATCGACGGCGCAACGGTGCTGCCCATCTTGCTTCGTACAATTTTGGACGACTCTCACGGTCGAGTACGCACCGTCCATGTTCGGCCGAATATCATCGACGCACCACTCCGCCGCTGGCATGGGTTCCGCCTCCATAGCTTCACTCTACCAGAATACACCCCCGACGAACTCTATCAGGCACGGTTCCATTTCCGCGACAAGTTGCAATCAATGACCCGGTACGGCGTCGAAGAAATGCGGGCGGCAAAGCACTATCACCCCAGCGGGCTTCTTGGCTTGCCTCCCCGGCCCCTCTATTTCCGTATGCCGCGTGCTAGAGGAGGCGTCATGAGCATCAGAGGCACCGCGGCCGTCGTTTACATCCCACCTTCGAAGAGAGACAAGAACGGCGAACGTGTCTGCTGGATGAAGTTCGGCTTCGACGAGGACTTCCGCCCGGTCTGTATCTTTGGCAGACGGAAGTCTCTGTGGGGTGGTAATGCAGCACACCTCGCTGTTGATGAGGACTCGTATTACGACGCCGAAGAAGCCCCCGGAGCACATGCCCTTCTTTTTCGCCATGACTGGATTAACAGGTATCCGTGTGCGAACGACCAGGAGATCGCGGCCCAGTGGCAGAAGCGCGATTTCTGCATCCTGAAGGGCGTCAAGGACTGGGGCTTGGACAAACAGATCCCGTTCTTGCGACTGCGTATTTCGATTCGGCTGGAGACCATGCCCTCAAACTACCTGCCAGACGGACGACCGGAGTCGGCACAACCGGGAATGAATGTGTGGACGATCAATATCAACTCCTGGAGAGACTCGGGCGAGAACGGAGGAATGAAGACGGCCATGGGAACCGGAGAGTTCGTGCTGCGCTCGTTGGACGACATGTTTGCCGCCGTCTAATTGAGCCTTGTATGTGCTGTGATGATGAATGGCTACTTTGGCGTGCTTTGTCTTTTTCACCCCCCCGGCTTGCTTTGCTGCTTCGCAACCTTCTTCACCATCCAAGGCGTCAAGGGAGAACCCAGTCTCAATCAAGTATTTGCCAGGAATTTTTGGTTGGGAAATGTTGGAACAAATGTAATAATGACGGACGGGTCTTGGAAGAGAATGAATCACAAACCGGGGACGAGAATCACGAATGAGGAAACAGTACGACGGGACTATCACGACGACGACATAACGGACTTCATGTCAAGGGAAGGGAATCTCGGATCATTGATACCATTGCTGGAATCTGACGAGACATATAAATAAACTATCAGATCTTATGGCCCATATTTATCCTCCCTCATACTTTTCGACCGTCCATCCAGCTTGTTCTATACCTACGCCATCATAATCAACCCCCCTGGGCTTCTGTGCGCCACTGATTCCGCGTCGAATATTTATCTCGTCCCACCCCTTTGTTTGCCCTGGAATTGCCTTTGTCGATATTGCCATCCCCTCCTGCGCACTCTCACATTTTCGTTCGTTACAATCTGTTGCCTTGCCTTCATTTCGTCACCCTGTCATGAATCCTAACCTATTCCCTTCGTACCGAGCAAGTGCGGCAAAAAGGAGGACCGAACCAAAGGCGCCGTTTGAACACGCACGCACTACACGCCTTACCAATATCCCAATCCCCTATGATGGCCCATGGGGACAGCTTTGATCCCTCAAGATGAATCAGTGCTTTTACCGTCGCTCCATCAATTGCGGCACAACATCCCCGTACGCTGTCGAATCCAATAGTGTTTGGACGGCCGCATTCTTCTGAAAATGATTACCCTTGATCTCCGGAATTAGACTCCTCGAGACGTAGATACGCTCACTGGGAAGTCTGCCGAGGTCGTTTGCAATCTTGCGGATTAGGGTCGTTGGGGATATTGGCGTCGATCGACCTTCTCTTGGATGGCGATGGCATCCTGGACGGGTTCGGCGACATCGCGGCGAGGAAGCGGGATTTGCATACTCTGTTTTGCGGCAAATTTTGGAGATGGCTGCTGTTATTCAATTCCTCCGGCTTCGTCTGTGTTCCGGCATCAGGCGGGCGAGGGGCAGTGGCGTTTAGAGAGGAGCCGTTTTGCTGCTCATCGGAGTTTGAGTTCAAATTGCGCAGGTCGTTGAGTAAGCCGGCTTTTCTTGTGCTCCACCGATTCATGTCTTTCGATAGATCAGTTGATTTTCTGTTCAAAATCCAGATCTTCTGATCGTCCTAGTTGCGTTTCAGGTAGGTTTGTTGGATCTGTTCGGGCTTGCTCAGACTTTTCGCCCGCGGCTTCGGTCTGCTTCTGTTGCTCTATCAGTGCGGAGGTGCACTAGTCAGCTTTGAGCTCGGAGCGCTCTGCGAGAGCTCGCAATTGCTGCACCTTTTCTTTGAGATTGTCTTCGCGATCGTTAAGGTCGCGTGCGATTTGGGGTAACTCGGCCACCGTTTGTTTGGCCTGGGCCAAATCGTCCCGTAGACGTGTTATTTCCAGCTCCCTTTTCCTTCAACCATTGTTCGGCCCGGGCAATTTCGTCCTGCAAACGCATTATTTCAAGGTCCTTGTCCTCCAGGCGTTGCCTTGCCTGGCTATATTTGTCCTGCCAACTCTTAATCGTGGTCTCCATGTGGGAGGACATGATGGCGTTTTCCGTCTTGACACGAAGTTGGTGCTCTAAAGTCGCAAGCCTCTCTTCGTAAGACGTCTTCTCCTCCGCGAGTTCGTCATGATTCCTTTGGAGGTGCTTAATGCTATCAGACTTAGCACTGAGCTCTGCCTCTAGATTGCTAATTATCTTTGTTCAAGTCATGAGAGAGCGCGGATCTATCCTTTTCTGCTTGAACCTTGGCGTTTACCTGAGAAGAAACATCTCTCTGTCAAGCCTCGAGTTGCTCTGTCAGATCGACGACTTTCTCTAAAGCGGCGTCTTTCTCACATTGCGCTTGTCTTGCGGCTTCCTGCTGAGCGGGATAAGCCACTCGCAAACGCGCAAGTTCTCGTTCCAGGTCCATATTTTTCTTTACAAGGACGTCTCTCGCATCTCCCGCTCGTATCGTGGCGTTCTTCTGGTCCTCGAGTTTCGTTTCTAGATCTTTCTTGGCGGCCTTCAGGTCGTCATTGTCCCTTACAACACGCTTCGTCTCGATTGCCGATTGTTCTGCGCGGTCAAGCTCAAGATTATGATTTGTCACTACAACCTCGAATCTCGCTTCTAGCTTGGTCTTTTCCTTTGAGTGTCTACTTGGTCGTCCATGGCTCGGAATCGTGCCTCAACAAGGCGACCAAAGTCTTGCGGGTCAGCTATTTTTTCCAGTTTGGTTGATGGGTCTAGTGGGTCCTCAAGGCAGCTTAGGTGTTTTGTGGTTTATTTTTTGAGCTGCATGAAGTACTCCCAAGTATTCCTCAATTCTTGCTGTTCTTGGTGACACTCGTGGACCGTCCGTAAGTAGACCGATTCCAGCATTCGCACGCGCGAAACCGCTTGATTCAAGTGTTCCACAATGCTGGGCAAGATGGGATCGGGTGCTTTTGCAAGCGTGCAAGCTTGGTGGAGTGAGTCCCGTACCTCATCGAGAAACATCTTCATTAGTTCTTTTGCAGTTGTCTCGCTGCCAGAGTTTGAATATTTACCGCTAGCGAGGGTGTCTTCACCGCTAGGGTTGACATCTTTGGCGACAGGGGGCGGTGTCTTCGCCGTCATGAGCTGATGGATTATCCATCAATCCAAATGTCGGTACACTTCCCAGACAAGAAGCCACGCGACCCAACTGCAAGGATGTGGGAGGCGTGCTGTCCAAGCCAAGTCCAGAACACGCTGAGAAGGGTTGGACGAGTCCTCCCAGGCAATCAGGCGGCCTCATCTAAGAAGATCTTCTGGCAGAAAACATATTGTTGTACAAAGAGGCTTTCGGCGAACGACACGGATGGCTCACTAGTCGAGGATGATTATAACGGGAAGATGAAGAAGAAGAAGAGGAGAAGGAGGAGGAGGAGGAGGAGGAGGAGGGCAATGGCGGTGAGGGTGATGAAGCTGGTGAAGATGAAAGATAGTTGAAGATGAGCTGCGTCTGGAAGCGGAGGAGTAACAATACCTCGGTGGGTGGAGGCGGCGAGGCAGGTAGTCTGCATTGGTCATGGCGCCCTGCTAGCGCCTTGAATGTCTACTGTGCTGGATCTCAACAATACTAGCTCGTACCCAGTACTTGGTACCGAGTCCCTTGTACTCTCCTTCCTACAAGTAGGTACCCGCGAGCCCGGTATTAGGTACTTGTAGTTCGGTGGTAGTGCTCAATAACTTTAGGCAAGTAATAACAAATAGCCGATGCCCACTGTCCTCTTTCCCCAACATCTCCCCCCTATCCCGTGTAAGTACGGGGCCTGGGTGCCGCCCATGCATATAGACCCGCCTACAGAGCCGTAAGTAATACCGACCCATTCTTTACACCCAATTGACTCCCCAAATCACCTCCTCGTCGATTGGCTCAGCCGGCTCGCCTCACTTAGCTCGAGCTGCGGTGCTGCTTGAGGCACCAATGCTGCTTCATCCAAACAAAGCTACTCCATAATAAGCCTCTACATGTATCCTCGTCCAGTACAGATTCTCGACGCCCAATGAACCCATGATCTCCCTGAGATGATATCGACGTAGCTCCCTCATCTGCCTGTTCCCCTCCTCTTGTTCCAGGGAGCTCGTCCCACAGACATCATTTTCCACCCGCTATGGCCGACCTGCCTCCCCTCTCAATGCAGAATACGCGCGGCTCCATGTCCTCCGTCCCAATGCACGAAGTCGAGCCCTCGCCCTTCGACGACTATGACAATGCAGACGTCCCAGACTACCCGACCAACCCCTCCGACATCGAGACCTCAAAACTGCCTCTTACATCCCACAGCACAACCAACTGGCTAGGCCTCACTCCCGCCCGAACTCTTCACATCTTGTCAGCGATACAGAAGTACTCGGTCCTTCCATTTTCTGCGTATCTGACAATGCACTACACAAACACGGCCCTGATCCCCCTCGTCACCCGCTCTGCACGAGAGGCGGACAAATACCTCCTCCTCACTCGTCCCTACTATCAGTCCTTCCCGCTCGAACCCCTCCTGATATTCGTCCCCGTCATCACGCACGTCGCGTCCGGGATTGCCCTACGACTATACCGTCGAAGTATCGCGGCAAGGCGGCATGGAGCCGAGACACTCTCGCAGCGCAGAAAGATGAAGAGCAAGATTCCATGGCCCAAGTTGTCCTTGACCAGCGCGGCGGGCTACGCCCTGTATCCCATGTTTATTGCCCACGTGTTGTCCATGCGCATCATTCCGAAGAAAATCGATGGGAGCTCCGCGTCCGTTGGATTACGCTACTTTGCGCACGGCATAGCACAAGACCCTTACATCGGAATGGCAGGCTATGCCTTGTTCGTGGGTTTCGCGAGTTATCACGTCGTGAGCGGTGCGGCCAAGTTTCTGAGGCTGAGTGCCGAGTATATCATCGGCGGTGGGGAGGACGGTCGAATCCAGAGATTATGGAGACAGAGGATTGTCAATGGCGTTGTAGCGACCATGGCAAGCTTGTGGATCGCTGGCGGGTTGGGCATTGTGGGAACCGCAGGGCGAGGCATCGGGTGGGAAGCAAGCCACTGGGACAAGATATATAGGGCAGTGCCGCTTATCGGTAGAATGTTCTAAGGTCAATACAAGAGTTCTGAAGACAACAAATTCCACCTCCTCGTGCTCGCTCTACTTGTCCTTCTCATCACGATCGACATCCACATGATAAAGTTTGCACATTGGGTATTCTTGGTACGGTAGGGGGGAGTTACGATGATACAAAGGAAAACGCGAAAATAGGTGGGAAAAGTGGGATACTGTGATGAAGGGGTTGTAGAGAAGATAGCAATCTATACTCCTAACATAAGGCGAAGTAAGCGCCGTAGCGTCCGCTTTTTTTTTTAAAAGAAAAAGGGTGGGGGGGAGAGAGAGAGAGAGAGAGACAGAAACAACTTCGCTGGCAAACGTAGACTAGCTGGACGGCAAAGGCTGCCAGACAGCCCAAGAAATCTTGAAAGGGGATTGGATGTCTCTGAAAATGGGTTATTATTCGCATTTGTTTGGGAAGGGTGGAAGCTTACGCTCCTAGATTCTGAATTGGCAGGTTGAAACTGAATAGGCCCCATTTGCCCTCTTCCTCAATTGACGTTTCTATTCCTTCGTTGATGATGTTGAACTTTATCCGCTGCAAATATCGCAGGCGGTATTGCATGAACACAAGTCGGTCAACGATGGCTTTGGCTTGTTCGGTCGAACCTATGGCAAACTCTAGCCTGCGAACCGAGCCTGAGATGTAGTCGAGCAAAGTAATTTCCATGTTGGGCCACGTCAAGCTAAGCTTCTGCATATTCGGTGTGTCAAGTAAGAAGGCTGAGAGGAACTCGATGAAAGCTGGAGTCGGGGTCGTGCTGGAGGATATCTTGAGCACTTTGAGGCTCTCGCGGTGATGATCATACAAAGCCTTCATCGTCTTCAAATTCAGAAAAATGCTCACGTCCGTCTTTGGATCTGTGACTTGAACTAAGGTCAGATGCTTCAATGGTCCCATCCGCTCCAACAATTGATGAATGGCGGACTGCGTGATCCTGGTCTGGTATCCATGGCTCTGGCGCATCAGGAGGCCGGGAGGCGGTCCGACGACCGAAAGACGCTCAAGACTTGTCAGCTTGCTGAGCACTTCCGTCGTTCTCGTTGGACTTGTCTCCGAGAACCCGCTAAATTGTAGTGATTGTAGCTCTTTGATAGACCCGAGACACTCAATATGGCATTGCTCAATGTCGAGCTTCAGCACATGAAGCTTAGCATAGTGCTCTGCTATCCAATTGAGAACTTGAGTCACGACTATGCTCGAGGGTGTATTCTTGCCAGCCTCCGAAGGCCGTAGAAGTGACAGATGCGTCACTCCGGGCAGTTTCGCTAGTGCAGATGTTATGCGATGGATCTCCACGAGATATGGATGCTGTGCAGCTTGGCCAGTAATCCAAGGTGCCACAGCCTGAGGGTTGATCTCTTCTAGCCTCAGCTTAAGATTGGTGATGCTTTGTTGCACCTTGTTTGGCCAGGTGCTCGTAAAATCGTCAAGATCATCCTGAGATCTGCATTCAAGCGGCCGGCGAAAGAATGAGCCCCTCGCTTCACCATATACCTGCTTGTTCACACACAGCAAGTTTAAGTGATCTCGACAGTCGAAGGCAAGCATCAGGTCGTAGATGTAGTCGCGGACTTCAGGGGGGATCTTTAGAAGATAGCTCGAAGCCGACGCGCCTGATGCGACGGTAGGATATTTTTCCACCTATCTCTTGTGAGCTCCATCCTTGAAGAGCGAGTGGCGTGGCTTACCTCCTTTCCGTTTGCAGGCAGGTTAGCTTGCTGCATCCTCCGCAAAAACGCTCTCGCAGGATTTGCCTTAATTGCTACCGAATGCTCGACGAAATGCCTTGCCTGTAGGGCTGGTGACGGAGATAGCTTGACGCAGCGGCTTCAATATGTGCAGGGAGGTATGTGAGATATAAGTCTGGTTAGATATACGGAGCTGTGCGTTTTGAAAGATACAAGAGGGCTTGTAGTTGCTAGGCTGATGGTGCTTGATTCGAGCATTTTCGAGCATTTTCGATCCATGCAGGATTCTGAGAGGGGAAGTGCTCAATATTCAGCAACATCCTCCGAAGTTCACACTGCTTTAGCCCAGAAGGCACGATAACATTTGAGTATGTATCTGCGAAAGGCTGCACAATTGATTTCAGGTGGTGGGTGTTTCGACAAGTAGTGGTGTAGCGGTGTAACTTGGAGCAGGTTCAAAATCCTATCCACACAGAACATATCGCGGCGGTGAGGGTCAAATTTTCAGTGACGATGGAGATGAACCCAAGTATCGGAGACAGATAGGCTTACAGCCGGTGGGGACGGCGAAATCCCCAAAGAAGGTGGCTGCCACATGGCTGTCTAGGATGTTATGCGAAATGACGGCAGAAACTGAACTGTGAGAAGCCACAGTCCCCGACCAAATGCCACTCAGAGCAGAACGAGGATGTGGGAGCCAAGTTGAAACGGGCGTGGAGAATGAAGCGACAGATGAAGACACTAGGAGAGGCTCAACCTACCGCCCCTTTAGTGAGGGACTCGAGCATGGCCATGGAGAATCCCGTCGTAAGTGCTCTGTACTTTTAACAGAGCAACGTCAACATCTGAGCTAAACCCGGGGTCTCCATTTCCGGAGGTCATCTGGGTCGCGAAGCTTCTAACTCCATGCAGCCCTGTTGACAAATTCATGGCCCTCGTCCAGCTTCAGTAGTGACTTGCGCAAATGAAGAGTGCCTGGAAAAATGAAACTGTCGGGACCACATGAACCACACGAAAGGCTATAGGTTTGGGGGAATTTCTCCGGTTCTGTTTCCTCATGGCTTCTCGACATCGCATACGAGTTGTTGAAGGGATTTCGCATCAACGTATTTGGCTGTTTGTTAGTTTGTGATTGGGGCAGACCATGGGTGGGGACGCTGAACCATCGAACCAGGCATGTCAAATTAGCTTGCCCATGTCAGTTCCTGGCCAGATGTTTTGGTACTGGCGCAGTCTGACAGAGCTGGTACACCGGTACTGGAAGAAGAGAGTTTAAGGAATTCCCAACCACGCGGTGGCCAAGGCAGATGT